AACTCTCGATTCAGTCCTTTCACCAATGCCCTAGCCTAGTTTCAATCAAATTATCCACCACAAACTTCTTGCTTTGGAAATCTCAAATCCTACCATTGATTCACAGCCTCAACCTAGAGCATCATATCACAAACCCCAAAAAACCTACTGATGAAGCAACTGATTCAACAAGAAACAAAACAAAAAATGTAGATAAAGAGCAATGGGTGCTAAATGATGGATTACTCACCTCATGGCTTCTTGGCAATATGAAAGAAGAAATTCTTAGCATGATCTACGGAGGGGATACAACTTACTCAATTTAGAGTGCTTTTCATGATCAGCTGTTGCCCAACACTAAAGACAGCGAGGCTCAATTAAAAAATAGCCTCTATAGCTTATCAAAAGGGACCTTATCCTTAGATGAATACATCAAAAAATTCAAAGAAATTTGTAATAAACTTGCAGCCATTAGTAAACCAGTCTCAGATGTGGATAAAGTCTTTCAAATCTCAAAAGGATTTGGAAGCCAATACAAGAATTTTTGAATTGCTGTTTTATCAAAACCTCCATATCCTTCCTTTAATCAATTTATTATGTCTTTGCAAAACTTTGAACAAGTTTATCTTCATGAAGAAAAGCCCTCTGTTGATCATAATCATGCCTTTCTTAGTCTCCGAGGAAGAGGAAGAAACATGCGTAGAGGTAGAAGCAATTGTAGAGGGCGTAGCTCAAACAATTCTATACATAATCGTCCTAGTCACAACCACACCTATCAGGTTCCCAGCTATAGAATTCCATCAAATTCCAGTAATCATTGTAAAGGACCACCAAGGTAACAAGCCAAGGAAGCTTGCCAAATCTGTGGTAGAACAAATCACATTGCCACAAAATGCTATTACACGTATGAATACAATGGTGCACACGATATACCACCCAAGAAGCATTGGCTGTATTGAACTTGAATGGCAATCATGATCAAAACTTTTACATTGACTCTGGAGCAACTACTTATATGACAAACCAAGGAGGTAACTTAAAAAATCTTAAACCATATTTTGGTACTGACACTGTTTTTGTTGGAAATGGACAAGTTTTACCCATTACCCATAAGGGTAAAACTTTTCTTAAAACCATACAAGGTAAGTCTCACCTAAACAATATTTTAGTAGTGCCTAAAATTAAAAAGAATTTGCTATCTGTGAGTCAACTTATAAATTATAATGATTGCACCTTTGAATTTAACTCTGATGGTTTTGTCATTAAAGATAAGAAACAAAGGAAATTGGCAAAAAGGACATAAACAAGGAAATCTTTATGCACTCAAAGGAGAAAAAATTGAAGCACTTGCTACAATCAAAGAAGCATCTCCTGAGATATGACATGCTCACTTAGGCCATCCAAACTTAAAATTCTTGCAAACTTTAGAAAATAAGCAAGCCATCAATGTTTCAAATTGGTTAACCAAAAATACTTTATGCACTAGTTGTCAATTTAGAAAATGTTGTAAGCTTCCTTTCAACAAATCAACTTTTGTTTCAAGTTATCCTTAAAAATAAATTCATAGTGATTTGTGGGGACCTGCTCCTATACTTTCCTCTCAAAAATTTCAGTACTATGCAATCTTTGTTGATAATTTTTCTCACTACACATGGTTATGTCCTTTAAGAAACAAATATGAATTTTATACGTGTTTTCTTAAATTTCAAGCTTTTGTTGAGAAACAATTTGACAAAAAAATCAAAATATTTCAAAGCGATAGTGGTGGAGATTTCACTTCCAACATTTTTACGAACTACTTGGCTTATAATGGCATTGTTCAACAACTCTCATGTCTCCATACTCCAAAGCAAAATGGACTTGCTGAGCACAAACATCGACACATTGTCAAAACAAGATTAACTTTACTTTTCCATGCAAATGTTCTCTTAAAATTTTGGATTGACGCTTTCTTAACTGCAGTGTATCTTATTAATCGACTGCCTCTCTCATCCATTGGTAAGGAAACTCCATACTTTAAACTCTTTGGTAAAAATCTTGATTACTGTGGACTTTGAATTTTTGGTTGTTAATGCTTTCCTTATTTAAAGACACCTGGATTACATAAATTTTCTAGAAAAATAGCTTCTTATGTCTTTTTAGGGTATAGCCCACTTCACAAAGGATATCGTTGTTTGGATCCACACACTCACCGTGTCTATATTTCACGACATGTAGTGTTTAATGAAAATTATTTTCCTTATTTATCTAATACAAACTCCACACACTCACAACCCTATGATTCATCGATTACTACATTTCCTAACTCTGATGATTGGTTTTCATGTAATAAGAATGATACCACACCCCTGATCCTTAATCCTATCAGCCCCTTTAGACCTCTGATCCTTGATCCTATTGACCTTTCCTCACCCAATTTAATTACCAAACATTCCTCCATCAATTTAGATCTTGTCCCCTTCACCACTAATGTAGACACATCCTCTAGTTCTTCTCAACTTACTCTTGATCCACCTTTAATTAATATTGACACTTCCACCACCATCAATAGACCCATTAGGAACAAACGCCCTCGTTCTTACCTAAAAGACTATGATTGTCCAACCATGCAGAACTCTTTACCATCTCCCAATGCCCTTTTTGTATCCCTTAAAGAGACCAAAACCTATAAAACTGCTCTTAAGCACACAAATTGGCGAACTGCCATGTAAGATGAAATTGATGCGCTTCATCGCAACTATACTTGGTCTCTTGTTCCTTGCCCACCTACAGGTAATGTTATTTGTTCTAAATGGATTTTTCGCACAAAAGTTAAAGAAGATGGCACTATAGATTGGTTTAAAGCTCACTTGGTTGCTAAAGGATATACACAAATTCCTGGTGTTGACTTTGGAGAAACCTTTAGTCCCGTTGTCAAAGCCCCAACCATTCGTGTTATCCTATCTCTGGCTATGCGCTTTGAGTGGCCTCTCAAACAGTTAGATGTCAAAAATGCCTTCTTACATGGCACACTTAATGAATGGATCTATATGAAACAACCTCCAGGCTTTGTGTATTTGCAATTTATGGGCTCAAACAAGCCCCTTGTGCTTGGTTTGCTAAATTATCTACTTGTCTTATTTCGATTGGATTTATATGCAGTAAAGCAGATTCCTCACTTTTTATTTACTGTCATGACACTAACTTCACTCTTCTACTTGTCTATGTAGATGATGTTATCATTATTGACAACACTCCAGCTTTTATTTCTGGTCTTACTTAACGACTCTATCAGGAATTTGCTCTCAAAGACCTTGGCCAACTACATTACTTCCTTGGACTTGAAATTCGTTACTTCTCTGGCGATCTTACAATTTCCCAAGTGAAATATGCACGAGACCTTTTGGCCAAAGCTAATATGCTTGAAGCCTCAAAGATCTCCACTCTAATTGCTCACAAAGCACTTGAACTTGATGATGATCATGAGCTTGTGAATCCTACCGGGTATCGTCAACTGTGTGGTTCTCTCCAATATCTTACCTTCACTAGACCGAACATCACATATGTTGTTAATCTTGTGTGCCAACACTTTCAGAATCCAACCAAAAAGGATCTTCGTGCTATCAAATGCATTTTGTGATATATAAAAGGTACTTTAACACATGGTCTTCATTATTTATCTCAAAGCTCTCTCACTCTTAATGCCTTTTGTGATGCAGATTGGGTAAGATGTCCAACCACTAGAAGAAGCACCATTGGCTATTGCATCTTCATTGGCTCAAACTGTGTATCGTGAGTCTCAAAGAAACAACCTATTGTCTCTCGTTCTAGCATTGAAGCTGAATACAGGTCCTTAGCAACCCAACCACTGTTGTTGAACTCATGTGACTTCAATATCTCTTCTTTGACCTTGGCATCACTCTTGAATGTCGTCCCTTGCTATTTTGTGACAACCAAAGTGCTATTCACCTATCTCATAATCCAGTGCTTCATGCTCGTACAAAATACATTGAAATTAATTATTGCTTCATTCGTGAAAAGGTCATTACTGGTGACCTCTAACTCCGCTACATACCTATAACTCACCAAATTACTGATGTGTTTACTAAAGCTTTGTGCAAATATTCCTTTGCTACTTTTCGTAATAAGCTTGGCGTTCATCCTCCCTAGCTGCCAACCTTGAGGGGGTGTTAAGAATAGTAAAGATTTCCCAAATAGTACAGATCCCATAACTACAGAATCAGAAAAAGATAATCCAAGTAAACTGTTGGAAGACAATCTGCACCAATGTCTTGTCTTGATTCGTGGGATTAAATTAATCAATCACCATAAAATGTCCTAAATATCTTTTCCTTTTATATATTGTTACCGTTGTGTTGTATCTATAAATATGTTAAAAACCTCTTGTAAATATGAACTGGAAATATATACATTTTAGAAAGTTCTGTAACACCTTACCTTTCATTAAAAGCTACCCCCACTCACCATCATCTCTCCTCCCTTTCCCCAATCATTCCTAGAACCTTTTGACTAAAGGAAGAAAAAAAAAGCATAGATTAGTATTGAGAGGGCACCAATAAATAAAAAATTATAGAAAAATATAATAAAAGTGATTTATTTTTTTTTAATTTGTTAATTAGAGTCTAAAAGTATGGATTAGTATTTGTCAAAAATATAATCATTAATTTATTAATTTTTTATACAAAATATGAATTTTATTCCTAAAAAAATTATATTAAAAATTATTATAAAAAATATTGTTCAATAAAAGAATGAAGGATCAAAAAATGACATTTTTTTACAATTTATTTTATTTTTTATTTTTATATTTATAATACGGTTTATTTTTATTTAATATTAATTTATAATATATTTTTTAATTGTATTTGAATTGCTAAATTTTTTTAATTATTTATGATTTATAATTTTTTATAAAAATTAAGACCTTTAATAATTTTTGGTGAACAAGAAAGCCGCACAAAAGAACGCATCGAATCCTGGACATAGCCCAATGAAACCAGCACAGGCCCAAATAACTGGGTGCTTCTCAGATACTTTCTGTTTCACCATGAATGGAGGGGCAAAAGTGTAAAACAAATCAGCATCCTCTTCGTGTAGGGTGTATGGCCGAAGATCCAAACTGTGACATCCCTCATATCACAGTGAATAAGCCCGTTACGCTCTAACTAGCTCGTGCATTCCGAATTCAACTCAATGTGATGTTGAAAAAGAGAAACCACGAGTAGCTTCTACCACTACCATTCCCAATGAGGTATTCCCCATTCAAATACTTATCAAATCTCCGCAAAACCCTAACCCAAAACCCGAACTTCGCTTCTCCACGGATTTCAACACCGTGCATCTTCTCACGCAATGATCAATCGAATTCGGAACCCAAGCCTCGTTCCTTCTTCGTGCGCTGTTACACCAGCGCTTCGCAGCCTCAGGATTCGGAGAAGGTGTCATCGATCGTGGACGAGGTGATGGGGCTAACGCTGCTGGAAGTGATGGACCTAGTGGAAGTAATGCGCGAGAAGAGGGGCATCAACGAGCTTCCGATCATGATGTTGATGGTGCCGGGGATGGGTGTGAGGGGTGTGCCGAAGGGTGCATCGAAGGGGGGAGGAGGTGGTGGCGGCGGAGTTGGAGTGGAAGAGAAGAAGGCGGAGAAGACGGCGTTTGATGTGAAGCTTGAGGGTTTTGATGCTGCGTCGAAGATCAAGGTTATCAAAGAAGTAAGGACGTTTACTAGCTTGGGTTTGAAGGAGGCCAAGGATTTGGTGGAGAAGGTTCCCACTGTTTTGAAGAAGGGTATCACCAAGGAAGAGGCCGAGACTATTATTGCCAAGATGAAGGAGGTTGGCGCTAAAGTTTCTATGGAATAAGGTACATTATGCTGCTGATTAATTGTTCTCTACCCTTGTTAGGTCCAGTGGGTTATCTGTGTTTAAGAATAATCAGTGCTTGAGAAGGGAGATCTTACTTGAGTTCTATCTGTTACAGGAATTCTGTGACTGATGTTTAGGATTCTCAATTTCTATTAGTTACTAGCATCCTTTGACTGAAGTTTAGGATATTCATTTTCCTTTTTGATGGCGTAATTTCAAGCTTTGTAAAGTTATTCCTAGGAGTGTGAACATGGGAATATGATATTCTTGTGTTCGTTACAAGCTGTAGAAGTACTTTTCCTGGCATTGTTGATTCCTAGAATGGTGTCTTTCTCATATTTTAATTTATTTTTGTTCCCATGGTGATAGGTGGGTTTGTTGCTTTCCCATGGGATTACTGAAAGTTATCATATAACCCAACTAGTAACATTCAGTAGTTTCCACTCCCACTCTGACTTCTATCTTCTATCATTTGAATTTTGAAAAATGTTCCCATAAAAATTAAATTCTTACCTGAAATGTTTTTTATTTACCCAGGAATAATACTCCTTGTCATGGCAGTCTTGGGAATGTAATTGTATACCTTGAACCAAAAGTTATTTGAGTAGAAATAATTAAATTGAAAATAACATTAAAAAGTTCACTCCTTTGATGTAGCAACACATAAACACATGGCCATTTGAAAGGGAGAAAAGGAAAAGAAATTGTGGAATCAGTGCTCCTAATGACAACCAAAGTTTGATGCTCGTAGGTTTGATGGGATTAAATAATCCATCCTTTAGACAAATTACTGCATGTGAGCAAATGCTAACCATTGTCTGTTTTTCTCATATATAATTTTTTAAATTTTAAATGGATTCTTGGAAATGGTTGGATTTTACTTTGAAGATAAGGTTGAAATGTTGGATGAATGGACTTCTACAAGTTATTAATTAACAGTTATTATTGCCTGGCAATGAATTCTATATGGGAAACTGTGGCAACATAAAGTGAGATGTCAAGTTGGATCAATGCCAAACAAATAAAGAACATTTGTCTTTCATGTGGTATCATAAGCATCTCATGCTTAAGTGTGTATATGCAAGTCCTGGTAGTAGGAAACAGAGTTATACTATGTACATTTAATGTAAATGCCCCAATAGAGGTTTTTGGCAATTGCCATTTTTAACCAGTATTTTAATATTTGGACTTGCCCAGGAAAAACTGGATGAAGAGCAAAACATAGCCTAGAGTGTTTCTTTTTTTGATCAAGTGCTGCAGCGTATTCATAGCACTAAAGTTCTCATCGGCAGGCAATGAAAGTCTACAAATGTGTCTCATGATGCAAAGCTGTTATGTTTTCTTGTATTTGAAAATTTTGCTGAGTAGACTATGCTCCTACCTCTCTGCTTTTTTATTGTTATTCCTCCCTTACATTAGGCTGTTTTTGCCTTGAATTTCTCGATCATTTCTTAACCAATGTTGTATAATTGGTTTATGATAGTGGAAGCATTTTTTAACTGACACATACATTTTACTTGCTGGTAAAGTTCAAGACCCATTTGGTTGTCCCCCGAACTACCATGATCAGGCAATAATGTGTAATGGACAACTAGAATTGAAGTTAAAGCTCTGATTGCTGTCTATTGACTTTTGCTTCTTTTGGCTGTACAGTTTGTAGTGTTGGCTTTATTTTCCTATCATTTTGTTTTCTCCCTGGTTTCCTCTTCTACAAACATGCACATGCTATGGGTCACACTCTTGAAAGAAACTTTCTCCTGATATAACGAGATTTTATTTGTGCATGCTGTCCCTTATTTCTGTTTTAATCCTTTTTGCCATTGCTTAAGTAAATCAATCTCTGTAAACAAAATAATTTTGCAAGGAGTAAGGGTAAGCTGTAAGTAAGAATGATTTCCATAGTGTTTGCCCCATACGTAGCTGTTACCTTGACTGATGGTAGAAAAGCACTGTCTTTAGACATTATGAAATTTAGTTTTCATTGCCAATCCTGGATCCCCTGTTAGAGTGGTGCTGGGATTGGTTTCCAAGTCACGGTGTCGCACAACTTAAGAAGGATGATGCACTTTATTTGGCTTAATAATCATTTTGTCCTTCTGTCATATTGCTAGTTTGAATTTAATCTTGCAAAGTTGTTTAAGACTCTTGGGTGGTCAAGTTCGTGTGCAGATCTTGGTTTACCGATATAATTGTTTGCATTTTGCCTTTAGTTTATGTTGACAAGTGTATGTAAACATAAGTTTAGTTTCTTTTAATTTTGAAAAACTAACTTTGGCTAAAAATGTCTTTGGAATGAAGTACACTCTTGATTTTTATTTTTACAATTGAAAGAATTGGAAGCCACCTTAGGTTACTTCGACTTAGAATTGATTTTGGAGCTTAAAACCCTTTAGAAGCAGGACCCCAACGCAGAATCAAACAAGTTGTTGAGTAAAAGACAGAGTCTTTGTTTAAACTTAGAATTCTTTATATGATGAAAATTAATGTAAAAAAAAAAAAAACTCGTAAATTAGAATTAATTTTTTTTTTAAATTATAGAGAAGTTATATGAGATTTTCTTAAAAAATAGAGAAATTATAAGTTGATTTTAACTTGTGAAAAGAGTCTAATTTGTTTTAATTTTTTATTTCTGTAAGTACTTTTAAAAAGTTTGTCCAAATTAAGCCAAGTTTTAGTATGTGTTGTCAACTCCAACACTTGAATATCCTAAACGAACAGCCAAATAGTCTGTAGTGTTATTTATAAGGCAGTTTGAAGTGTTATTTACAAGGGACTCGTCTTTTATCAGTTCAAAGTGTCTATTGTTATCTCTCTTTAAATAATTTTTTATGTAAATTGTATTTTTTCTGCTGGCTGATTAAATTATTAATAATAGTGTTTTAGTAAAAAAAAATCTTATATGAAAAGTGACAAAACATATTTTGAAATGACAATTCACTATGATTATGTCAGCTACTTGATCATGCAATGCCCAGTGAGGTGCAAGTATATCAATTAAGGAAGAAATTATTTATACAATAGCTGTATATTTATATGTTCATTGAAGGTGGCAACAAGTGGATGCACTTTGACAACTCGAGCGAAGAAAGCAGGTGGTGAGCAAGACATGGCATTGCATGTAGATATTTATTTTTCACTCTTTTTAGCTTTTGCAAATGGTCTAATATAGAGTAATGTTATTTCTACAAATCTTTTATGAAGAGGCAAAGAGAGAAAAGAGACAAGTATATGAGATAATGACATGGGCAGAGATATAGAGAAAAAACACAATCTATGAAAAGTATTACGAAAATATTGTCCCAACTAAAATTGACAAATCTGATGAGATTAAAATGTGTACACAACATAGTTATCAATAGCGCTCATAGCGGTTGCTATTGCGGTGGATCCTGCTATGACAATCCTATAGCATCGTGGTTGGACTGCTATGACAACCCTATAGCATTGTGGTTCAGTGTCACAGTTGTTGCGCCATAAATAGAGGCCAAAAATCACAACTGTAGCGGTCGCTATACTATCATTCCTTATATGTTCATTAAAAATGGCAACAATTGGATGTACTTTAATAACTCGAGCGAAGAAAGCAGATAAGCAAGACATGGCATTGCATCATAGATATTTATTTTTCACTCTTTTTAGCTTTTCCAAATGGTTTAATCTAGAGTAATGTTATTTCTACAAATTTTTTATGAAGAGGCAAAGGGAGAAAAGAGACAATGTGTGAGATAATGACATAAACAGAGATAAAAAGAAAAAACACAATCTACTAAAGGCCACTATTGGGGCGGAGTAGAGCATACCGGCACAGTCTTGCTATGGTTTGTCCTATGTTTTTTAATGTTTGGCACTTTTAAGGGGGGAGCAATTTTGGGATTTCGTCCTTTATTTTATGAATCTTCTTCCTCCTTCTTGCAAATCCTAGCCTTCAACTCATCTCTCAGCTCTCTCCTCAACTCTTCATCTTTGTTCTCTCTGTTTTCACCGCTCAAATGTGGCTTTCATCTCTGATGAGGGTTCTAACAAGAAAGGGACATTTTTTGGTTATCTTCTTCATTTCCAGTGAAGCCTTTAATGTGACCCAGATTATTTCGAGTCATTATCTTCATCTCTTGTCATCTTCTTCAAGGTTAGCGGAGCTTCTAACATCACTCAAACACTTTCCAATCATCTTCTCCATCTTTGGCAAACTTTCTGGCAAATTGCAAACATTTTGGTGACTGAACAATTTTTTTCCTATTTTTTCTATTTTTTTTCCTTCTTTGTTTCGATTCTTTTATTCTATTATGTTTCAAATTTTAAAGCTTAAAGTAGAAGCAATGACTGCACTAGCCAATCAGTCATAAGAAACCACCTCTGTTTCAATTTCATCTTGTGCATTAGTGAAGCCTTCGAGAAATAATTTGGATATAGGTTGGCAATGGAACAATTTAAAAGACATAAATAATAAAAAGTCTATTATTTGTGACTTTTATGAAAAAAACAACTACGGACGGTATTACTTGAGCAAAGAGACATCAAATGGGAGTGAAGAGAGATATTGATAGCTGCCCAATAATTCCCAAAGAAATAAAAAAAAATACTATTAACAGCTCATGAGAAGAAAAAAATTGAAAAAAAGGCATATTTACTTTAGCCTGATGAAGAAGAGGTGCAAGAAATTCAAAATATTCGTAGTAGAAAAAAACCTACAACCTCAAGTGTTGCATCAGCTTACGTTAGTGGTTGTATTGCCACCAAAAAAGGGAAAAATGTTAAGGGCCCATTGGTTTTTTGTGGTTAGGAGTCCAAAAACAAGCATCAAATTAGCAAAAACAAAAAGACAAATAAGTATAAATGATGTTTATGTCAAGGAGGCAAGAGCAAAAATAATTCAATACATAGAGTGATTCCTTTGTAGGAATGAAATTGCTTTCAATGTTGTGCGCTCAAAAAGCTTCAAATTAATGGTTGAAGCTATTGGAAACTATGGTCCACATCTAAAGCCTCCTAGTTATCATGAGTGTAGAGTTCCTCTTCTTAAAAAAAGTTAGAGTATACAAAAGAAATGTTGAAAAGTTGTAGAAAAGAAAGAGAAAAATGTGGATGTTCAATTCTGTCAGATGCGTGGACGAATAAAAAAAAAAGAACATTGATCAATTTCTTAATAAATTGTCCAACTGGTTCTATGTTTGTAAAAAGCATTGATGCATTTGCTTATACGAAAATCAAAGAAAAGTTATTTAAGCTCTTAGATAGTTTTGTTGACAAGATTGAAGAGAAAAATATTGTGTAAGTAGTTACTGATAATGGAAGTAATTGTGTGTTAGTCGATAAGAATAATTCTTAACTTTCTAGTAATATCATTTAAACAATTTGTATTCATATTTTATTAGTTTCTAATTTTAGACTATGCAATTTAATTTTAGGTAAGTTATTGCAAACTAAAAGACCACATTTGTTTTGGACTCTATGCACTACACACTATATTGATTTGATGTTAGAAGATATTGAAAAATGCCTAGAGTCAAGAGAACAATCCAAAGAGGAATTACTCTTGTGGATTTTATTTATAATCATTCATTGACTTTGAACATTATGATAAAGTTCATAAATAAAGTTGAATTGGTTAGATATTGAGTGACAGAGTTTGCTACAACATTTCACACATTACAAAAGTTGCATAATAAAAAAAACAACTTTAGAAAAATGTTCACTTCCGATAAGTGGTTAAACTCCAAAATGGCCAAAGAAACTAAAGGAAGAAAAGGCAACAGACATTGTGCTTATGCCTTCCTTTTGGAATGATGTGATTTTCAGTTTTAAGGCTATGAGGCTACTTGTGCAAGTTTTAAGGCTTGTTGATAATGAAAGAAAGCTTGCAATGGGTTATATATAAACCCTAAATGTACACCACATTTAGAGTGTTGAGTTTGACTTGTAGTTCATCTGAATGTGAATTAAATTGGAGTACTTTTGAGCACGTAAGTAAATGTCTAGTAACTTTAATTTTAAGTTCTTGATCTAATATTAAAAGTGCATAATTAATATTTTTTTATGGTAAAATAAATTTATTCTGAAAAGAGAAATAGACTTGAGCATCAAAGGTTGTAAGACTTGATTTTCATTAAATATGACCAAGTTCTTAATGAATGTTTTAAGTATTTTGACGTAGTGGATCCTATTATCTTAAAAGATGTTGATGATAGTAATGATTGATTACTAGAAAGAACTGTTGGAGATGATGAAGATGCTATAGATGAATTAGTGTTTGGTGATGATAACTTGACTTGGGAAGCTAATGCTAATGCAATTGGGGCTAGTGAATCTATAACCTACATTAGGCGACAAGCTAAATCGAAATCTAAGATAATTACAATTGCTTCTTCTTCTAAATCTAAGAGAAAAGGGAAAGAAATTGTACAAGAAGAAAAAGAATGTAATGAAAAAGACTCTAAAGAAAAAGAGGAGGAGGAGGAGAAAATTCTTATACAAAAATAGTCATAAAAGTGAAAATGAAAAAAACATGACAAATCTTAAAAATAAAGATGATGATAACTATTAAAATATCTGTATTTGAATTGAATACTTAATATTTTTAAATATCTAAGCATTAAATACTTTAATTTATTTAGTTCTTATATTTTACTATTACTTGTTATTAACATTTAACATGTGTTATGTTCTTAAATTTTTATTTTTAATTATTAATATTGTATATGTTTTTAAATTAAGTTTTAAATCTATATTTTTTAACATATATATATATATGTATGAATATATTTATAATGCCTAAAATAGTGATCATTCTGCAATCTGCTATCCCGATGTATGACATTTTTAGGATAAGGTGCTCCGCATCGGTTATCTGATATTAACTATTATGGTACATAGTTAGTTTGTGTCGGCTTTGGGTGAATAAGGGAACAAGAAGTTTGAACGGTTTCAAATGGTTAGAGATTCAGAATCCCTAGTACCTGAACCTGACCAGGAACACATGCAAACCATTTTTCCATGCTGGTCTTCTTTCTCTTCAACCTCACTTTCTTTCTTTTTCTATATCTTAGGTGGTTTAAAGACCGAATATATTTACCTTGAGTCGTAGGTTGTTGGGGACAACATTGTTACAATGGCCATTACCCACCACCACCATGGTTGGACACCAATTGACGACTGCTACCCACCATCATATATTTGTTTTTTCTTGTTACAAATCTGATCTTACCTTCAACAATCGCCACAACGTCACCACCCCTAGCCTGTCATAACATATCATCTCTATCACTCCCACCATGGCCATGGCAACACCAGTATTATTTTCCACTATGACAAATTCAGCCCCTCTTTACCATAAATCTATCTCTCACTCCCACCTACACGACCTCACATGTTCAACCCGTTTCAACTGGACCGTTAACTCACAAAACATGTCGATTTGTCACCTGATAAATCCAAGACTAACATTGAGCAGAATCAGTTCTAAAGTTATTGTCGGTTTTGAATATAGAGTTTTTGTGACCCAAATCTGACCTTAACCAACTAACGTCTAGCCCTAAGCAAAACAAAATCTAAGATGCTTTTAGGCTTGATCATTTTCTTGAATTCTTCCTCACATAATTATTGTGACCATTTTAACGAGTCCAATGAGTATCAAAATTTTCGTTTTTGTCAAATTTAGGTTTGATTTGTTAGGAATAAAATGAACCGTGACATTATAGCAACTTTAACACGGCTACTTGCCACGGTTTCTTAAAGAAAATGTAATCAGCAAGTAGTTGCGTTTATGAATAACTAGGTTTTTTACCGCAATTTTTTAAAAACTGTGATCAATACATGTTGAATCAATTGCTTCTGAAAGCAACAATTGTTTTTTTTCTTATTTATGCTGACAGCGAGAAGAGAAAGAAGAAACTATCATTCCATCGATAAAACTGCTGTTTATCTCTTTTCGGATGGCCTAGAGACATGAGGAAGAAAGAAAGTAGGAGAGAGAGAGAAGTTGCTGCCATTGTTTGGTTGAAAAGAAAAGAGAGCAGCTGAGTTTTTTTTTTTTGGTACAGATTGATCACAAAAAACAAAAACAAATTAATGGAGCCCGGAGTAGGACTGTGTGGTCGATTTCGGAATTGTAATTTCCAATCCAAGTAAACCCATGCAAAACATGTTCTGACTCATTTCCATCTAATAATGAAATCAAGTGATTCAATTTTCACTTTGACTGTTAACGGTTTACTGCACACGATGATGGCCTATTTGGGCCAAAACAATTTTGTTGGAGCTGATTAAAATTTAACTTCATATTTTGGTATTTTGTGTTAATTTTGGCAACTGAATTTAAAAATTGTATTTAAAATTGTTCATTACAAAGATGAATCATTGAAGAAAAATAAAATTGACCTTAACCAAATGATGCTTATACATTATACATGAATCCAAAAATAAAAATACAAATAAAAAAAGACTGAACTTAAAATTTACATATGGGGAAAAAAATAGTAAACATTAGACACATTGTTACAATTTTCAAATTCTGAGTTCACAACTTCACATATTAAGTAAAACTATGGAGTCACTAACAATTTCATTCACCTTACATAAATAATAAAATAGAATGACAAATCGATGAAGTAATTAGGATATCTAGTCCATAACAAATGCACACAAGTCATGCAAATTTTGAAAACAACAAGTCTTCCTTTGTATATGTGGGAATAGAACTTGTCATATGATCCATTTTAACTTGATAGTTTAAAGAAAAAGAAAATCTACTAGATAGTTCAAATAATTTATCATAAATGAATAAAGGAAATAAAAATGTTTGAATTCAATAAGTCATATATTAAAAGCATTATAAGATCAAAGTGAATGAGTGATGATAAAAATTAAAGTATAGAAAGCTTTGTTAAATGTTAATTATCATAGTTCTCCCAAAAAAAAAAAACACATAAACCTGCAAGATACAAAGTGCAAACAAAATGTAAAACAAATACTAATGAATTTAGTAGAAATTCCATGAAAAAAATTAAAATTTAAATAACTGACCATAAAAAAAGTGTTTTAAACTAACTGAATTTTGAGTGTATGAATTGAGTTGATGAGACATCACTCTAAAAACGTAAAAAATATATTAAAAGTAACACTATAATGAAATTCAAAAAATAATTAGTAATTTAGTAAGAAAATTAAAAGGTAATTATTTAACAAAATTTGGCATAATTCTAAAACTAAATCAACTCTTAGTGTTGTGATTAGGATGATGGACTAGTTTCATTTGAAGGTTCAATTCCAAATCTTGTTGCACCACTACAAAACGTGATAACCCATGTTCAAATTCTTAAAAATATTAAATGGAAATATTTTGATTAGTTTACAAATAGAAAAATAAAACTAGATGAATTAATTTCATTTAAAGAAAATAATCATAAAATAAAGGCTCACTTGTAAGGACAAGTTAGTAAAATGAAAAATATAACATTACATGTAAAGAAGATAAAAACACTTTAGTTACCTCAGAAAATTTTAAAATTTTTATAAAAACTCAACCATTCTTTCAATCAATAATGGTAGGTGCACCAATAATTCTAAAGTAGTTCAAATAGCTTGAATTCTTAAATTCAAGTTTGTCAAAAGAAAGTTAAACATTTTTCTACAACATCTAACATCTTATTAGTAAGTTTCATCTTATTGAAACATAAGACAAACATATATTTTTGGATTGAATCTTTGTAAATTCTATATATTCTTTAAACTTAGTAAGTTTTAAGATAAAAACCTCAAAAACCTTATTACAACTAAGAGAAAGAGGAGTTATGTTGGAACTTTGATAATCACTGATTTTTTTTTATTTTTTTTTTAAGTTTGTAATTTTCAATTCTTTAATGGTTTTAACTATCACCGTGAATGCTTTGTATAAGGAAGTAAAATAAGAATGTTAAGAAGAATAGACAAATTGATATGGATGTAGGAAGAGAAGAGATGAAAGTGCGATAATATTAATATTTTAAATTTGTGAGTTTTACTATAATATCATGTTTAATGATAAAAATAATATATATATATATATATATATATATATTAAAGGCAATAATTAATAATTAATAATCAAAATATTGAAATAAATTTACTATAATTTAGATCGGAGATGTTATTAAAAAAATTTCATTAGTTAGAATAAAGGTACGTGAAGATTTTAATATTCTTAATGAAAATTTTAAAAATAAATGCATTAAGAAGATAATATTTTCATGTAAAGAATTAAAATAAAAATACTTAATTCGTTAGTCAGAAAAGATCAAATACAACGTATGTCATATTTGGATTAACTCCGTAATATATATTATAGATTATAGATGTTTTAACGGGTTAAGTGAGGCATTTAGCCCACAAACTTGGGAATAACATATAGGTAGTATTCAGGTTCAAACTTGGAATCTCTCGCCGAAACACGATTTGCACTCAGCACGTGTGAGGAGAAGAGTTCCTTGAAAGAGAGAAGCTCCCAAGAAACAAACATACAGAACGAAACCACACTTAACTGTCGCAGTCAGTCTCCATTTATTAACTTAATGACGCATAAATCACTTCAACTCTGAAACTCTAACTTCTCTTATGTCAACGGAAGCTTCCAAGCGCGACCAATGGCAGTGGGAGAACGCCACCGCCGGCGCTGCCGCCGGATTCGCCACCGTCGCCGTCATGCATCCCCTCGACGTTGTCCGAACTAGGTTCCAAGGTTCCCTCTTTTCTCATATAAATTAAGGTTTCAGATTTTTCCTGCGTTCAATTTTAGAAGCATTATTTTATTTTCTGCAGTTAACGATGGCCGGGTCTCTCATCTTCCCAGTTACAAGAACACTGCTCACGCCGTTTTCACCATTGCTCGCTCTGAGGTTTGTGATTTTTTAATCGACCAACGGCAATGTTTTTTCTTTTCTTTTCTTTTCCTTTTCAATTGAGAATTCAATTATTGACATTATTCTTTAAATTATGAAAATCCGCAATTTTTTGCTGTTCAACGATCATGTATTTTGATGACTATGTATAGAGAGAGATTGCCCTTTGTCATTTGTTTAGGTTCGTGGCTTTTGGCTGGTATACTAAGTATGCTATTTGTTAGGATTTTCATGGATAATATAGCTAATGGTTCGCTCAAATAATTCCGACAAATGTAATGAAGTTAGCGCAGTCAGCACTATGGTTTCTGGCATTCATGAAGAGTGAAGAGGAACTTAATAAGATTAATGCCATGACCTGAGATTTTATGGTGTGTCGCTCAATATGAGTTCAGTACAAACCAAATTTTTGAATAAAATATTGACGTAGGACATGGATATTATACCGTGTAGATTTGACAAATTCTAAAATTGTAAGACATGAAATGGCTTAGATATGACATATAAAAGTATCCAATATGATGCGTCCGACATCAGTACAACAACCATTTTGGAGAGTCAGTGTTTCAAAGGTGTTGACGCTGCTTGTCGTGCCATTCTTTGATCCCAGGGGGGAGGGTCACTTGTCAGTTTTGTTATTAATGAATGGTTGCTTGTGTTGTTAGACTTCATTTTTTTCCTTGTGCATCAGTCCATGGTCTTACTTTAACGACTGTTATCATGGTTGCAGCTTGGGTTATAGACTTAAGGCTCAATATCCTTTCCTTTCACTTATTATTGATGGGTTTGGTGTTGACAAATTAACATCGGTTGCTAATTGCTGCAGGAGAGAAACTTTCGCATTAGATACTTTGTTTATGTCATCCTGTGTGAATGTCTGCTACTTATGTGCCATGCTTCGTCTTGCAGGGATTAAGAGGCTTATATGCGGGCTTTCTTCCTGGGGTTCTTGGGTCAACTATTTCATGGGGTTTATATTTCTTTTTGTGAGTATCAAATTCCATCAATAGAATTTAATTGTATTGAGTCAATGTTAACCTATCATTTTTATATGATATGCTCACTAGGAGAAAATTATATAGCATGGTTGACTCTTTTGATGTTTGCATTCTTATGTGTGTGTATATGCATCTCTCCAGTTAAAATTTGACTTGTTTCAGTGAGTTTGAAAATCTTCTCTCACTTGCACTCAGATGGAAAAAAAAATAAAAATCCAACTTCTTTTCTTTAGATAGGGCTGAATCAGTAAGTCAATATCTCCTAGTCTATAGTACATGATGATGTAAGGGCTGTTGTTTTGTTCTCTTTGTAAAACATGCATGGCAATCACTATTTGTTAGTAATTAATGACTGATTCTGGAATCTATGTTTGTATGATAGGACCATTATATGTGACCTGGCAGTTGTTTCATTTAACTTCAAACAACTTTTGGAAAATCACTGTTCTTTATCTTATCAAGGGATTGTCCTCTATTTATTCACCAGAATCAAGTTCTTTATTTTTTTCCCTTCCAGACTTGAGTGATTAATTGTTATTGTTTGAGCAGTCAGTGGTCCATCTGCTTGTTTTCCTAGAACACCAAAGTGATCACACCAAACCCTTTTTTTTAAACTGCAGCTATGACAAAGCCAAGCAAAGATATGCTAGGAACAGGGAGGGTAAGTTGAATGCAGGTCTTCATCTTGCCTCAGCTGCTGAAGCAGGAGCTTTGGTGAGTGTACCAAATCCAATGTTATGAATGGAAAGCCACATGCAGGCATTTTGTTGGTATTTGTTGTGAAACTTGGCATTGAGTTTCTGCTTCCCCTGAGGTTTGGCATTGTTAAATTTTGTTACTGTTGGTCCCAAGGAGAGATGAATGGTGATACAGTGAAGGGATTTGGTTCATCCAAAGTGGGGATTAACTTTAAAGTGAAAACTGAGAAGTTAAGGCCATTTATTTGAAAATTAATTGAGATTGTGATAAAATACATGCAAATATAAATAAAATATGAAGTTTTTTAAATCTATTTCCTTGCTTTTCCTTCTCATTGACTGATATAACTCCTTACTTTTCTCCCTAAAGTGAATCCCTCAATTTAAATTCACTTTAGAGAGGAGTCAAATTCACAATGAAGTACTTTAGGTGAAATGAATTAATGGATTTACTAATGGAAATTATTGTTTGAAGTGTGTGTGAGAATGGAACTAATATACTAATATCTCTGTGCTTATATTTGAGTCCTTGCTTAACTTTCATTGTTGGATGCTTTGAATCCCAAAGCTTGCCAAACATATTAATTGAATGGAGTTAAAACTGAACCTTATTTATTTTGGTTTCCATTGCCTTTTGTCAGGTTTGCCTGTGCACAAATCCTGTGTGGCTAGTAAAGACAAGATTGCAGCTTCAGACTCCTCTTCATCAGACACGACCATACTCTGGGCTTTATGGTCTACTATTCTTCTTAAACTAGCTTTATTATAAACTGTTTACTTTGGGCTTTTACTTTTTGTAGTGTCCATATTATTTCTCCTTTGACTCTTGATATTAGCTATAAATACATACCTTATTTATTGTAGAATTAAGAGAGAGAACATAGAGAGAGAGACAGATTAATGTGCTGGAATTGGATATTCTACAATGTGTAGAGACCCTTATATTTATAAGGATACATATGTAATCCTACTGAACCAAGTCCATTATTATAATACTAAAATAAACCTTAATCCTAATATGTCTATTATAGCTATTCATAACACTCCCCCTCAAGCTGGAGCATAGATATTAATCATGTCCAGCTTGTTACAAATATAATTGCTACGTGTTTCATTTAAAGCTTTTGTAAACACATCTACTATTTGGTTACTTGTTTTAACATGAGAGATGGATATGAGCTCCTACTAAACTTTTTCTCGAATAAAGTGACAGTCTATCTCAATATGTTTTGTCCGTTTTGGATTTGAGGCAATGTGTATCGTTGTTTGGTTATCATACCAAAGTTGCATAGGCTTAGTGCTATCAAATCTTATCTCTTCCAACATATGTTTCAACTACATTAACTCACAAGTAGTTTGATCCATCGCCCTTTATTCTGATTCCGTACTTCATCTCGATACAACGTTCTGCTTCTTACTTTTCTGCAAAATTAAATTACCTCCCAAGAACACACAGTATCCAGTAGTAGATTTTCTGTCCATAGATTCTACCCAATCAGCATCAGAAAATGTCTTTATTTGTGCATGTCCACGATTTTTGTACACAATTCCTTTTCCTGGTACTTTTTTCAAATACTTCACAATGTGGATTAGTGCTTCCCAATAAGTATTTGTTAGAGATGACATAAACTAGCTAGCAACACTCACCGGAAAAGCAATATCCGGCCTTATGACAGTCAAGTAATTTAGCTTGCTTACTAATCTTCTGTATTTCTGTGGATCTGCAAAAGGAACTCTATCTGCTGTCAGTTTTGCTCCTGGCTCCATAGGTGTTTTACATGGTTTAGCTCCTTTTAGTCCAGTCTCAATCAATAAGTCTAAGACATTTTTCCTCTGTGAAAGGAAGATTCTTTGTTTGGAGTACATGACTTCAATACCCAAGAAGTATTTCATAATTCTTAAGCCTTTTGTCTGAAACTTGATTTGAAGAAATTTTCTTAGGTTGCTGATTCCTGCTTTGTCGCTACCTGTAATAACAATATTATCAACATAAATAACAAGTAAAATACAACTACGATCAGTTTGTTTCTTAAACACTGTATGATCACTTTTACTCCTTACTAATCCAAATTCCAGAATCACGTCACTGAATCTTCCAAACCATGCTCTAAGTGATTGTTTCAAGCCATATAATGACTTTTTTAAACGACACACTCTTCCACACTCCTCTTGATCAACAAAGTCAGATGATTGCTCGATGTACACTCCCTCTTATAAGTCTCCATGTAAGAATGCATTCTTGACATCTAACTGGAATAGTGGCCAATGATGCATAGCCATAAGAGAGATGAAGATGCAAATAGATGAAAGTTTAACAATTGAAGAGAACGTATTAGTGTCAATGCCATAAGTTTGGACATACAGTACCTTTTTGCAACAAGGCGTGCCTTTAAACGAGTCATAGAACCATTTGGATTAACTTCACAATGTAAACCCACTTGCAACTAATAGCCTGTTTACCCTTGGGAAGAGGAACTAAATCCCAAGTATCATTCATCTCAAGAGTCAACATTTTTTCCTCCATAGCATGTCTCCAACCGTATCTGCAAGGGTCTATGAACAGAAAGAGAGTTTATACCAGCCATAAAAGATTTAGATGTAGAGGATAAATGAGCAGATGTCACAAAAGATAAAATAGGATAGGTGCAAGATCTCTTACCTTTACAGATAGCAATAGGAAAGTCAAGGTCAAACATAGGATCTATTGACACTTGAGGAGATAATGATAGAGATTGAGTATCATCTTAAATATCATTAGCCATGAGGGGCACATTATCTGAAGGCTATTTTGGCTGGTAAGAGTATGTTCACTCAAAGAACTTGAAACCTGTATCAATAGGAGTCAGAGGTGCAACAGGATGTGTAAATTGGACAAGAGTATAAGTCAAGAAAGGTTCATCTTCCTCATATATGGACTTAGAAGATGAGGACTTAAAGAATAGAAGACTTTCAAAAAAAGACACATAAGAGGAAATAAGATAATGACCAAGATTAGAAGAAAAACAATGGTAACCTTTGTGACAGAAAATAAACCAAAAACACACATTTGAGGGACTTTGGATCGGGTTTAGTTACCTGACGACGAACATCAAACACAAAATAAGTGCAGTCAAAAACTTTAGGAGGTAAAGAAAAGAGAGATTGTAATGAGAAAAGTATAGAGTTGGGAATTTCACCATGTAACACAAATGATGACATGCGATTAATTAAATATGTAGCAGTAAGAACAGCATGAGCCCAAAAAGGTTTAGGAACTTTCATTTCAAACATTAAAGCACAGGCTACCTCCATAAGATGATGATTTTTACGTTCAGTTACTTCATTTTGTTGCGGGATAATAATATAAGAGGACTGATGATGTATGTCATCTTTATTCATAAAATTAGTGAAAGATGCAGACAAATATTCTTTAGCATTATCACTTCTAAGAATGTGCACACACAAGTATTAAATTGAGTTTTAATTTCAGCATGAAAATTACAAAATATAGAAAAGACTTCAGATCTAGATTTTATAAAAAACAATCATGTTACACGAGAATAATTATCCACAATGGTAATAAAATATTTAAAACCAGATTTAGAAGTAACTGGACAAGGGCCCTAAACATCAGAATACACAATTTTAAAGGGGGCATGAGCCTTTTTATTTAAACAAGGTAAATAAACATTACGATGATGTTTAGTAAACTGACATACTCATAATAAAAATTAGACTCTGTACTAAGACATAATTTCCTAAGAACTCCTAAAGACGGATGACCTAGACGGCAATGAAGTTGGAAATGAGACATTGTTTCATTCTTAGAAGCAATAGAAGCTTGCGAAAGTCCTTCTTCTTCCAATAGATACAACCCATTAGATACTTTATTTCTATCAATAATTTTCTTTGTCACTAGATCTTGAAAAATACAAGAATTAGAAAAGAATGTTACTGAACAATTTAATGATGAAGTGATTTGGCTAATAGACAACAAATTTAAGGGTTATTGAGGCAACTATAAAACAGAGGATAAAGGTAAAGTTGAAATTGGGATGGTACACCCGTTGCCTTTAATATGGACACTAGAACCATCAGCGAGTGTTACAAAAGAATAAGAACTAGATAGACCAAAAAAGGAAAGAATACCTAAATTCTCAGTCATATGATCAGTAGCGCTAAAATCAATAACCCAACGCTTGGAAGAAGAGGAAAGACATGTAATAGGATTACCTTTTTGGACAAAAGTGGCTGTAGAGGATGTAGACGACTGTTGGAAAATCTGAAACTAAGTATATTAAATAAATTTCTCATCACTCATACGCACAATACGTCCTTCTTTCTCCTGAGTAGTTGTATCAGGTTGAGACACCAAGTTAGCAAAGCGAGAATTATCTTGTGTGTGAAAAAACGACTGATTCTGTAGAGGATGAGTGCATTGATTCCGATAATGGCCAAATTCGCCACAGTTGTAGCACTGTATAATACCACGACCTCCATTATGCTCACAGTCACGACTCCCTCTACCACCACAGTGACCGTATTGGGCTGCCAAGGTAGAGTAGTCAGGAGACTCATTTTTTGTAGTGCTCTTGAGTTCATTAAAGGAAAACTGCATAACTTTGGAGAAAACAACGATAAGATTATCAACCTGCTTACTTGACAGAATTTGAGATCGAACTACCTCATATTTTGGATTAAGTCCCGAGAGCCAACTCAAAGCCATGAGTTTCTTTTGTTGCACTATCATCTCGTTAATAGTTTTGCAGGCTAAAAGAGATTGTATCTCTTCAATATGCTTCTTAAACTCCAAAAAATAGTCCATTAGCTTCTGCTTGTTTTGTTTGGGTCGATAAACTTCCTATAAGAGAGCATACAACCGATTCAAATTATCAGATTTTCCAAAAATAAATTGCAAAATGTCCCACAACTCCTTCACGGTTTTGCAATGGGTAATAATTGCTTGTATTCGCCTATCAACAAAGTTTACTAGCAACGTAAGGATCTTTTTATTGCGTATCTTCTATGTGTCAACATCCTTAGGATTGACAGGTACTGTTTCAGTCAAATGGTTATCTTTTCCCATTCCACCCAGGCTAATCTTTACCAAATACTTCCTCTCCATATAGTTCGTATCATCTTCATCCAGCTTAAAATTAGTAAGTTTGGATAGAGATATAATCTCCGTAACAGCCCCCCTTTGTGCTGTGCATCCTGCATATCCTGGCTATCACGTTTAGACATTGTATATCAACAAACAGTGATAGAATTGACTAGGTTTCGTCTCAATGGATAAAAAGAAACGCTGCACTCAAACTATAAACGTCAAATTACTACATATTTTGGTCACTTAAAAAAATTTTCATCCCCATAGCAGCCATGGTTGGCCTTTTCTGAAGCTCTAATAACATGTAGAATTAAGAGAGAGAGAGCATAGAGAGAGAGATAGATTAGTGTGCTGGAATTGGATACTCTACAATATGGAGAGACTTTTATATTTATAAGGATACATATGTAACCCTACTAGGCCAAGTCCATTATATAATACTAAAATAAACCCTAATCCTAATACGTCTATTATAGCTATTTATAACATTTATTATCTTTTACACAAGACTTTTCTTAATCTTATTCACCTTATCCTAAATTAAGTTTGAAATTAATATCCAAAAGTCAAAAGATACCTCATTTTAACCGATTGGTTCAATTTGAGTCATAGTATTTGATGGGACATTTATCTTTCTCACCCAAAAATGGTCATGGACTCATGGCAGTGTCTATATCACCACTATGTGTATTCAGTCATTCATTACTAACCAGTATTGAGTGTACACAAATTCATCCTGTTTGTTCCATAATATTGTCTTGATTTACAGACTGGTTAAATATTAGAGGGAAGAAATCTAGTTTCTAAATTTATATATAGATGATTGCACTTGTTTTCAGAAAGGAATGATCACATTAAAATAGCTAGGTTTAATTGACTTTCTTCCTTTTAGATTTGGGGATCAGGATGGTTATGTTTGACTCAACTACCTCAAACATGATAGTCACTATATAATTTGTTTCTTGAGGTTATGTTCATCATTATATGAAATATGAATTGCTAACTAGTCATGAAAATTTTTTATCTGTAAAAATTAAATCTCAGATGCATTTAGGACCATAATGAGGGAGGAAGGATTTAGTGCACTTTACAAAGGGATCGTTCCTGGTCTGTTTCTGGTATGTTGCTGGCTCTTGTTACTTTGGCTATTGATCTTGGCACTTCAAATTTTAATCATATTAATTTAAATATATAATGTTTGGTATTACGCTTTAAATAAAGATGACACGTCTTACTCATCCCTTTCTTTTCCAATCTGTAATGAACATTGTGCCAGTTGCAACTAGCTACTATGAACTCTTATCTGTCTGCCAATTAAACCCAAAGACAATCAGCAGCTTCGTAATTGATCCTTCATTTTCCATTTAATAACTGTTTTTTAAGTTACAAACAGAATGTGTTGTCATGTGATTGTCACATGATCACTAACATGTGTCAGCACTCACCATATTTTGTTTATTGTGGTTATATTCCTCATTGTATGATTTGCTAACTAGTCATGAAATTCTTTATGTTAAAATTAAATATCAGATGCATTTAGGACCATAATGAGGGAAGAAGGATTTAGTGCACTTAAAGAGGGATTGTTCCTGGTTTATTTCTGGTATGTTGCTGGCTCTTGTTATTTTGCCTGTCAATCTTGGCCATTAAAAAATTAATTATAGATTAAATATAATGTGTGGGATTGTGCATAAATAAAGAAAAATTAAGGTGTTTCTTTTGCAATATACTATGAACATCACATGTGTTGCAACTAGCCACGATGAACTCTTGAATCTGCCAATTAATATACTAAACTATCTGAAACATCACAACAAATCCTTCCATTTAATTGCTGTCAACTGTTAAGTTACAAAAGGAATGTTTATTTTATCATGTAATTGTTGCATCTTGCATGATTATTAGCTCATTTCAGCAAATCATTTGGTAAATCATCTCCCAACATTCACACATATTGTGTTTGAAAATGATTAAAAACCCTACAAAATGTCTCTTTATCCTTTTCCCCATTTTTTGCTTGCTGCATGGAAATGTGGTGGAAATTATTTAGACAAATAATTAATATTGATGAAAGAATTTGGATTCCTTTTACCTGTAGCATCATGGCAACTTGTGATATGACATTCATGAGGGCAGGTGCTATGTTCTGAAGGTTGAGCTTTGAAGCTATTAAGAGATTAATGGGGTGGGGATTTGATAAAGTAGTGCATGTGATTAGTTAGCACTCAAAATTTTCATTTTGGACCAAAAGTACAATTAAAAATAAATTTAATCTTAATTTGGGGCTTTGACATAATTCAACTCCAAAGCTTAGCTCATAAGTTGAAGATTGTCTCAACATTTATAAGCTTTACTTTGGTCATATATTTAGTCGATGTGAGATCTCAACACCTCTCTCATGTTAGGATTGAACTTTTGAAGAGTGAAAACTGTAGGACTTTTTTTTCAATTGCACTGGGAAAGCTGGCAGGATCAAGTAGCATTGGGAAGTCACAGGGCTAGGTAAGTTGCACTAAAAATTTGCAGGGCCAAATTAATTGCACTGTGAAAATCTGTAGCCTAATGTTGGATATATGATCATCTAATATCATTTTAAATTTAAAGTAAGTCTAATTCAATCTCAAAAGTTAGTTCAGAAGGTAAGACTTGCCTTAATCTTTATAAGTTCTACTTTAATCATATCTGTACTCAATGTGGGATCTCAATAGGTATTAGTAATTTAAAATCATTTACCGATTTTTTTTAGTTCCAGAGAATATATGTTATGTGGTTATCGCCTCATTTGCATTACAAACACGTTCCTCTTGTTACTTAACAGCAGTAGGATGGAAGGATCTGTTGTGATGTTTCTGACAGTTTAAAAGTTTAAGGTGGCAACTATTTGTGACTGCCCCAAATTTCAAGTAGCGAGAGCACATATTTTTCTCAAACTATATTAAATTACTCCAAAATTTGGTGGAATTTAGTAAATCACTCAAACCTGCCTTTTGAGAATTTTATCATAAAAAAGTTGAGAAAATTACATTTTGGGGATCATGGTCCAAAACATTTACAATTTAGGAACGTTTAACTGCAGGAGTGTTTAACAATATGTAAAGAGAAATTCTTGTTCTAACCATATTAGTAACGCTTCCTCTAGATTACTTTTCAGTTTAGAAACTTTTTCTCAAAATTCCTAAATTGTAATTATTTTTAAAAGAGTCATTTCATTACCTGGGAATATATGGTAATAGAAAGTACTTAGCATAAACTTGGCTAGAATGGTGTTAAACTTAAAAGTAAAGGAGGAATATGCTTGTCATTAAATCTATTCATTGGGCGGATTGCATAATTTTAAAAAAAAATTTTAAATCTTTCCTTGCCAGGATAGTAATAATGTTCTTGAATTTATATCTGAAAGTTGGTTATATTAAACCTTTACCTTATGATGATGACTTTTTGCTGAAGCTTTATAGTTATTTATGAAGCTATAGTTATCTATGAAGCTTTATAGTTTGCTTCAAATTTACTATTGACGACAATGAAATCATGCATAGCATTCTCTTTGTCTGCTTTTTAGAGAGCTTACTTGAATTTGCATGTTTCAGCAGGTCTCTCATGGTGCTATTCAGTTCACAGCATATGAGGAGCTTCGTAAAGTTATTGTCGATTTTAAGAGTAAGGGAAGTACAACACATCATCAAAACCCTGATAAACTGCTGGTGAGTTAGTGGACCTTGGATCCACTTAACTATGGGTAGACTATTTACATTCTTCAACTGATTGTTTGATGATTGACCTTTTTGGTCACTTGTATGGCTCTCAATTTTAGGGATGACAATTCGATCTATTGATATATTAACCATTCATGCATAAATCTAACCATGTCATCAAATTATAAAATTACAAACTAATGGATGGGTTAGATTGGATAATTATCTATTATTGGATGGATAATGAAGCATCCACAATATTTGTAATTCATTAGGTTGAGTAGTCCAAAGTCTATTACTTAGGCATAGGTTTTTTTATATAAATATTAAACTTTATTTTATAAAAATATTTTTTAAAGTATAATATATTATATAATATATATTTTAAATGGATAAATTGGATGGGTTTTTATTAAATAGGTTATGAATGGATTGGATTGGATATTTTAACACATTTTTAATGAATCAAAATAGAATAATGGTTTATTTTTAACCATTATTTAAAATTTACTCAATCCATCCATTTAACACCCTGAATGAATCTTGTTCCAATAAATCATTGCTCCAGTTTGGTAGAACAAAATGACGCATCTCAACAATCATGACTCTGCTTGTTTTTGTGGATTTTTACAGTTTTGACTTGATTGTAAACTGGCTTGGTCACGGTATATTTAAGCTGATATTAGTTGCCTCAGTAAGCTTTTACTGTATTCAAATGATTTTTAATGAGAGAAATGTAGCTTTATGCATATTGCATATCCTACATTTCATTTGTGGTGCTTACGAATGGTTTCAATTGAATCTGTTATCAGTAATTACTTGAGCCCCCCCTCTCCAAAAAAAAAAAAGGAATTACAGTTGTGATGTTTTCCTATTGTATTTTTTTCCCCCCAGAATTCTGTTGATTATGCCGTTCTTGGAGCAACATCAAAACTTGCTGCAATACTTCTGACCTATCCATTTCAGGTACAACTGATTGTTCCCTTCTCTTTTGATGAGGGAGTCTAGCTTCTACAGTCCTTGAATATGATATATCAATAATTGAAAAGTTGCTTTCTCATGAGGCATACACTTTTTCCCCTCTTTTTCAGGTTATACGGGCCCGATTGCAGGTACAAGAATGTCATTACAAAGATTTAGATATTCCATATTGCTTTTCTTTTAACTCTGCATCTTTCTCTTATCTGGACTGAACTTTCTTTCTCTGCAGCAACGACCTAGTGGTGATGGAGTTCCAAGATATATGGACAGTTGGCATGTTGTGAAAGACACTGCCCGGTACATATTAAGACACCCTGATTTAGTTTGCATGTTTACATTGATAAAGAAGGAAAGGTGAAACTGGATTAGGAAATATTGGTGATTAGGACTATTGCATTGTGTTAGACCTTTAATTAGAAAGTATATGTCAGGAAAAATAAAGGTGGGGCCCAGGTCAGAAAAAAATAATAACTGACTCTGATGTAACTGTTGCACTTGTTTTTACTAATTGAGAGTAAATAGGATAATGGGAGGAAAGTGAAAGAGTGTGTGTGTGTGTGTGGGCGGGGGGGGGGGGGGTAGACACTTGGAATGGGCTAGGACAGATCGGGCTATTGAATTCCTTGTTGAGAATATTTGTATTTCCATATTTACCTTCTTTCCTTTTATATAGAAATCTAATTGATTATGTAAATAATGTAATTAGGATTCTGCTGTAATTACCTAGTCAATCCCTATAATCAAGGGATCTAGTTTTGTACAGATTTCTCTTATAAGAACCTCTGAATCACAAGAAAGTATATACAGTTTTTACCCTAATTATTTTTCTATCTCAAGTTGGTATCAGAGCTCACTTTCTGTGGGCTTGATAAAATCATCTACAGTACTGCCGACCCTAGTTGTCCCGTCGTCCGGCCACCGTTTGGCCTGAGACTTCGGCACTAGCTCGAGAAGCTTTCGATCGGCTGTCCCACCGATCGCCGTCGTCTCCCGGTGTTCCACGCGCCGCCACGCGCGCTTACCAGAAAACCAGACCGTCGGCGCGTGAAGGCCACGCGCCGCCCTACGCGACTCCATTCGTCTCACCGCTGGTCCTGTTCAGCTCGTCGGCACACCCTCTGTCTGTTCTGGGTGTCCTTTTCCCTGTTGGTGAGTTGTGTTTAGTCTCCTCCGACTCTCACCAAGCTTAGTCATGGATTCTGACCCAACTAAGTCCTCTACCCCTGACAGCACTGAACCCTTAAACAAAAATCCAGTATCCTTTGTCTTCTCTGGAAATCCATCCATAACTTCAGAGAAACTTAATGGGAAAAATTATATGGATTGGCAAGCTGCGGTGGAAATATGGTTTTTGGGTCAAGGTCTCTCTGACCATTTGACTAAGACGGCAAGTGACATTAATTCCACTGAACGAGATCAGTGGAAGAAGGCTGATTATCAGTTAGTTTCACTTCTATGGCAGTCCATTGATCCGAAGTTGTTAGTCCACTTTCGCACTTATAAGACATGTTACGATATATGGAAGAAAGCTCGTAGTGTCTATTCAAATGATGTTCAGCGTCTCTATGATGTTGTACATAATTTAGCTGCACTTAAAATGACAGATCACGATCTCCCATCATATTTGAACAGAGCACAGTCCACCATTGATGAAGTAAAATTGGTCTTGACAGGTGATGACCTTCAAAAAGTCTTAGATAAGATTGATAACATGTGCATGGTCTTCATCCTTCATGGCCTTCACAAAGATTTTGAATCTGTTCGGAACCAAATTTTGACAAATTCCAATGTACCTACAGCAGAGAATCTCATTGATCGTCTGCTGCGTGTTCCCTCTCCGGAAACTATGATAGGAAATGGTTCCCAACCAGGTTTGGAGTCTTCTGCATTCTTCTCTAATGTGATCAGCCGTGGAGGTCGAAGTCGTGGTCGAAGTGGTGGAAGAGGAGGTCGCAGTTTTGGAAATCGTCCACAGTGCTCCTATTGTAAACGTATGGGCCACACTCAAGATAAGTGTTATTCTTTGATTGGGTTTCCCGAGAAATCAGCCAATGTGACGTATTCTCAGCCTTCCGCTGTAAAAAAGCAAATTGACCATGAAGGAGACAACCAAAATATTCTATCAGATATGGAGTACAAGGAGTACCTCCAGCTGAAGATAGCATCACAACAATCTTCCTCTGCCACTACTCAATCTGGTAACTCTACAATTTGCTTCTCTCATTCATCGTCTGTTGGACCCTGGATATTAGATTCTGGTGCTTCTGACCACATAGCTGGTAATCCTTCTCTTTTCTCAAAACTGTCACAACCTAAAACAGCACATCACATCACCCTTGCTGATGGCTCAAAAGCTAATGCCATTGGCATTGGACGAACTACCCCTCTTCCTAATTTATCCTTGAATTCTGTTCTTCTTGTACCTGGTTGCCCCTTTAATTTAGTCTCAGTAAGTCAACTTACTCGCACTCATAACTGTTCCATAACATTTACTGCTGAATCTTTCTCTCTACAGGACCGGAGTACGGGACAGACGATTGGAGTAGGATTTGAATCGCATGGTCTTTATTATTTCCAGCCCACTACCTCAGTTGTCTGCACTGTTGCAGATTCCCCCCTTCTCTTGCATCGTCGCCTAGGTCATCCAGGTCTAAATAAATTGAAGCACATGGTTCCTCACCTCTCTCATTTACAGTCTATGGAGTGTGAGTCATGCCAATTAGGTAAACACATTCGAGCCTCCTTTCCAAGTGCTGTCCATGGTCAAGCAAAATCTCCATTTGATCTTGTCCATTCAGATGTGTGGGGTCCGAGTCGTGTTAATTCTATCTTAGGACATAGGTACTTTGTTATTTTTATTGATGACTACTCAAGATGTACTTGGATTTTCTTAATGAAAGAACGTTCAGAATTATTTACAATTTTTCAGAATTTTTGCAATGAAATTCAAACACAGTTTGGTCGTTCTATTCGAATCTTGCGCAGTGACAATGCCAAAGAATATTTTTCTGCACCTTTTAATCATTTTATGACTTCTCATGGCATGTTGCATCAATCCACTTGTCCACACACCCCACAACAAAATGGCATTGCAGAAAGAAAACATCGTCATATTATTGAAACTGCTCGAACTCTTTTGTTACATGCTAATGTACCTTTAAAATTTTGGGGTGATGCTGTCCTTACAGCAACCTTTTTAATAAATAGGATGCCATCCTCTGCTTTAAATAACAAAGTACCTCATTCACTTTTATTCCCTAATGACTCTCTGTTTAAGGTTCCCCCACGTGTTTTTGGTTCCACTTGTTTTGTCCATGATCTCACTCCAGGACTTGACAAATTATCTGCTCGTGCTGTTAAATGTCTCTTTTTTTGGGTTACTCTCGGGTGCAGAAAGGATACAGGTGTTATTCCCCATCCAGTCATCGCTTCTATATGTCAGCCGATGTCACCTTCTTTGAAGACACACCATATTTCACCACATCAGTCTCTTCAAACTCAGTTTCTCAAGTTCTTCCCATTCCTTACTATATTCCCCTTGTCACTAATCCCTCAATCTCTGATGTGCTAGAACCTCCTAATCCCTCTTCATCTACTATTCCTCGTCCCCTGGCTACATACCAGCGTAGACCTCGTCCTGTTTCGCTAGAAGACGTAGTTTTGGAAGATTCAGGCAGCCCATCTCCTACGCCAGTTGCTCTACCTACTCCGGATCCATCTGACACACCTGCTGATTTGCCAGTAGCCCTTCGCAAAGGTACACGTTCAACTCGAAATCCTCATCCCATTTATAATTTCTTGAGTTATCATCGTTTATCCTCTTCCCATTGTGCCTTCGTGTCTGCTATTTCATCTGTTACTATTCCTAAAACAGTCCAGGAAGCACTTTCCCATCCAGGGTGGCGACAGGCTATGATTGATGAGATGCAGGCCTTAGAATCTAACCAGACTTGGACACTTGTTCCATCTCCTCTTGGAAAATCTACTGTCGGTTGTCGTTGGGTGTTTGCCATTAAGGTGGGTCCAGATGGACAAATTGATCGGCTTAAAGCCCGATTAGTCGCTAAAGGCTATACACAAACTTTTGGCCTTGATTATGGCGACACCTTCTCACCTGTTGCAAAAATGACTTCAGTTCGCCTCTTCTTATCCATAGCTGCCACACGTTGTTGGCCCCTCTACCAACTCGATATCAAAAATGCATTTCTTCATGGTGATCTAGCAGAAGAGATTTATATGGAGCAACCTCCCGGTTTTGTTGCTCAGGGGGAGTCCCAAGGATTTGTTTGCAAGTTACGTAAGGCTCTATATGGCCTTAAACAAAGTCCTCGAGCATGGTTTGGGAGATTTAGTACAGTTCTCCAACAGTTTGGGATGACTCGTAGTGAGGCAGACCATTCTGTGTTTTATAAACATTCTTCTACTAACCAGTGCATTTATCTTGTTGTCTATGTAGATGATATTGTTATCACAGGCAATGATCACGATGGTATCATCCGACTCAAGCAACATTTGTTTCAACATTTTCAAACTAAGGACTTGGGTCGATTGCGATATTTCCTTGGGATTGAAGTAGCTCAATCAAAAACTGGTGTCGCCATATCTCAAAGAAAATATGCTCTTGATATTTTGAAAGAAACAGGAATGTTGGATTGTAAGCCAGTTAATACCCCTATGGATCCAAATGTCAAACTTATGCCGGATCAGGGAGAGTTGTATTCAGATCCAAATCAATACCGAAGACTAGTTGGAAAATTGAATTATCTTACTATGACTAGGCCAGACATATCTTTTCCGGTCAGTGTTATAAGCCAATTTCTTAACTCCCCTCGTGATAGTCATTGGGATGCAGTGATTCGAATCCTGAGATACATCAAAGGTTCCCCTGGAAAAGGATTAGTCTATGAAAACAGAGACCATACTGATATTGTTGCATACACAGATGCGGATTGGGCTGGCTGCCCAGGTGATAGACGATCAACTTCAGGATATTGTGTATTGATTGGAGGCAACCTAATTGCTTGGAAGAGTAAAAAGCAGAATGTTGTTGCTAGATCAAGTGCTGAAGCTGAATATCGAGCAATGGCCAATACCTCATGTGAACTTGTATGGCTAAAACAGCTTATTGCTGAGTTAAAGTTTTGTGAGGTAGGACCTATGAGACTTATTTGTGATAACCAGGCAGCCTTACATATTGCCTCTAACCCTATCTTTCATGAACGGACCAAGCATATAGAGATTGACTGCCATTTCATTCGTCAAAAGGTTCTTTCTGGTGAGATTGTTACGTCGTTTGT